CCCACGGTGCTGGCCTGCTCTGGACTGTCTGCAGCAGGTGCATACCCCTACATGTGCAGAATGTGGGCGCGGGCACAGATGCACCCTCTGTCCTGCAGTGGGGTTCAGTTCGGTCAGTTCGTGTCACCACCCTCTGCCTGGCATGTCCAGTTCCCCACTCCCTGGGTGTGCTCGTCACCGTGGACATCTGCCTGTCAGAGGGGACACAGTCGAGCGTCGTCTGTAGGAGTTACCGTCTTTGTAGGGTGTGTTCCCGGGCTGAGAACACACTGCCCTCCCATCACCCAGAGGTGACCTCCTGTCCCTCTGAGGTGACCTGTCGTCACTCGGTGGTGACCTGTGTCACTTTGGGGTGAGCTCCCATCTCTCAGAGGTGAACTTGCATCACTCAGGGGCGACCTCACATCACTTGGACTTGGGAGTGCCCTCCTGTCACTCAGGCTGACCTCCCGTCCCTCGGGGCTGAGGACGGAGCATGGTCTCCGTGTCCCGTGTTGTGCCTGGTTGCTGTCACCGCGTCTTCTCTCCTTTCACCTTCTAGGTCACCTTGGATCTCCAGAGCAGCACTGAGAAGTTTGGGAGCTTTCTGCGTTCGGCCTTGGACGTCCTCTCCCAGATTCTAGAACTGGCCACTCTGCAGGACATCGGGAAGGTTCGTATGAGATTCCTCCGCACACTTGGGCTGCAGCCCGTGGAGGAGACCTGCAGGGCCTCACTGAGGAGGTGACGTGAGAGAACACAACAGGGGCTCTGTGCTCAGTGAGAACGTCCCTCCTCACGGCTGCATGCGGTTGTCCCCCAGCTCAGTCAGGAGGTGACGTGAGTGAACGTCCCTCTTCACGGGGCCGCAGGGGTCGTCCCCCAGCTCAGTGAGGCACTTTTCTTTCCTTTTTTCATTTCCCTGTTTCTCGGGCTTCATTGACCAGTCTTCTCTTTTGCAGCGTTTGCCTTGTCCTTCTGTCCACCCAGCGGGCTTTCTGTCGTTGACATTGTCACTATAGTATGTAGAAGCTGGACGTGGGTCTTTCTGTTTACTGTCTCTGCATTTGGGCCCGTGGCCTGCAGTCACACGTTGTCTCTGGGGTTCTGAGGGCCTGCTGGTTGTGGGTCATCCCCCGACGGACCCGTCGCTGCCTCTGTGCCTGACGAGCGTCCACTTGGTGCCACACGTCCTGAGTCTGGCCTTGGACGGTAGCAGGCGTTTTCTTTCCTCTTTTCTCTTTTATTGAATTTGAGGTGGACGTTTCACAGCAGATTAAGTTTTCATGTAATAATTTCCACAGTGTCCTTGACAATGATTATATATATATATGTGTGTGTGTGTGTGTGTATCTCTTGTAAAAATGGTGGGAAAAATGTTTTCAATTTCTTTATTTATTTTTTTTTTTAGTTTTAATGAATGTTTACAGAGACTTTGGATTTTCATCATTTTTTTTTAAATTGTGAAAATTGACAAAGCAAGTTGGTTTTGCATCCAGCTCTCCACCCACGTTATTGCAGTCATTAGGATCCCAGTCCCTGCAGCCTCCCCGCGTCCTCCCGGCGTCCTCGTGTCCGTGAATCCTGTCCAGCCCTCTCCCTGAGCTTGGCAGTTCTCATAAGCGAGTGTGTCCCGAGGGTTTCTGTGCACCTTCCAGCACTCTGTTCCTTGGTGGAGACTGAGTCACTTTCCGGAATAGCGATGGAAAGGGGTGACTCTTGTTCCAGATTTGAAAAGGTGTAGTCTTGAGGGTTCTACCTGTCAGAGCAGTAAACCCGGCCGTTTTCCGGTTTGCGCTTTGTTCTGTGTTTACGGCCCTTAGCTGCACTTCTGTGGTCCCCCCGCGTGAGTGGCAGGGCGGCGGGGCTCTGCTGCTCCCCAAGCGAGGAGGATGTCATGTTAGTGTTGCCCGAGACATCCCCTTACGGAGCCGTGTGGGGGTTGGGGTGCTGCGCGGGGCAGTCTGCTCAGTGATGCGTGAACGGCAGCTTTGTCGCGTCTGCTGGATGGAAACAGCCCATGTGAGCAGTGGACGTTGCTCTGCTAAGCCTTCCAGATGCGTCTGTCTGGCCTGGGCAGCTTCCTCACCCGTGTCCCTGTGGCTGCCCAGCCCTCCAGGGAGATGCTCTGCAGAGCTCCAGAGTTCTCGTGCTGCTTCTCGGCCCGGGGACTCGGGCCTGGGGACCCTGCTTGCTTGCTCTCCCTGGACTTCCGTTCCTTCTCCTCAGCTCGGGGTTCCCTCGGCTCTGCTCTTCCTTGGCCTGTTCGTCATCCTCCTCGGCCCATGACCTGGGAGCCTGCCGTGGAACGGTTGTCGGCTCTGCCCGTTGGCCCCTGCCCTGCACGGCCGACGCTTAGTGTTGTGTGTGCTGACCCTCCAGCAGATTCTCAGAGGCAGGAAATCGCCTCTGATGGGAGGCTCCCACCTTGTCCCACGGAGCAGTTGTTGGGTTTGAACCGTGCGCCTCTGGACTGGCAGCACAACTCCTTCCCACTAAGCCCTGGAGCTCCCTGTGGCCGATGCTTCGTGTTTAGAACACTGTCGACGCGTGGGCCTTGTCTGCTCATTTTCTCTGTTGTTACAGTTTAATGAAACGGTTCAGAGTAGGCTGGTGTGGGCAGCAGCCACCGGACCCCTGTGTAGGAGGCTGAGGAAGCCCACGTGTGCCAGCGCTCCCCCTCACGCGAGGTTGACCCCAGCATCCTCGGCCTGCGGCCTCACGAGCTTTACCCCTCTGGTCTCTGGTGGAGGCTGAGTGCCGAGGACCTGCCTGGTGGACTGTTCCCCCGGGAGGTCAGGTGTTGTCTGGCTGGAGTCGGTCCTCCCGACGGCGCCCTGTCCGGTTCAGGAGTGAGCTGACGGACTGACAGACGGCCATAGTCTCTTGGACCACTGATCTGGTCTTTGTTTACTGCTGCTTTTTGGTATTTGGTTGCTCCTTTGCTCCCATCTGCCCAGGACCTTTTCTCAGGACCCCTCGGAGCGCTAAGGTCTCGCCGCTCCTTGTCTCCACAGTGCGTTGAAGAGATCCTCGGGTACCTCAAGTCCTGCTTCAGCCGCGAGCCCATGATGGCCACAGTATGCGTTCAGCAGGTGAGGCCTGCATGCGGGGAAGATGCGGTCAGCAGGAGGGGGCAGCTAGGCCGGCCAGCCCAGCTGTCACTCCTTCGCTCACTCCGCTTTGGGGACCCAGGTGGCACTTAGGAAAGTGGCTGCTTCTCCCGTCCTGTGACTTGCCTCACGCCCCTGGGGGAGGAGCAGCTGGAAGGTGGAGTGTCAAGTCAGAGGCCTGGACTCTCAGGCTGACCATTACCTGTCGTCCCTGTTGGCTTCTGTTTGAATGCTCAGGTCCCTGAAAGTGCAGGGCAGCTCTGGGCGCTGCGATACTGGTTCCTGAGGGAGGCGCAGGGCTCTGGGCGCTGGGATGCTGGTTCCTGTGGGAGGCACAAGCACTGGAGTGCTCAGGCCTGTGGGATGGGCAGCGCAGTGTATAGCAGGGTCTGTGGGATGGGCAGCGCAGTGTATAGCAGGTGTACGCGGCCTGAACTGTGACAGGAGTGCTTCAGGTCCGACTTCTGCTCGCACACCCAGTCACCTCTAGTGGACTGAGATTGTGCAGGACTTCATGAGTATCTGCAGGCAGGTCTGAGTGTGGAATCGCCAGATTATCTGTGGATGGGTTTAGGAGCTGTGTAGGGTTCCCCAGTTTCTCTGGAGTGGGGTTGAACACTGTGGGGACCCCCAGTGCTGCACTCTTGGGCCATTTCATGTCCTGCCTTCTCTTCCTCCAGCTGCTGAAGACTCTGTTTGGAACCAACTTGGCGTCGCAGTTCGATGGCCTGTCCTCCAACCCCAGCAAGTCTCAGGGCCGCGCCCAGCGCCTGGGCTCCTCGAGCATCCGGCCGGGCCTGTACCACTACTGCTTCATGGCGCCCTACACCCACTTCACCCAGGCGTTGGCCGACGCCAGTCTGAGGAACATGGTGCAGGCGGAGCAGGACCATGACACGTCGGGGTAATGCCAGCCTCCGTGTGCGTGAGGAGGGTGGGCGTGTCCGTTAGAGCTCCGCGGCTGGACGCGTGGACACACGTGTCCACTAGAGAGAGTTCCCGCAGCTCGAGGCGTGGGGACACGTGTCTATCATGACACGTCGGGGTAATGCCAGCCTCCGTGTGCGTGAGGAGGGTGGGCGTGTCCGTTAGAGCGCCCCGGCTGGACGCGTGGACACACGTGTCCACTGGAGAGAGTTCCCGCAGCTCGAGGCGTGGGGACACGTGTCTGTTGTGACACGTCGGGGTAATGCCAGCCTCCGTGCTGTGTGAGGAGGGTGGGTGTGTGTCCGTTAGACCTCCGCGGCTGGAGGCATGGAAACACGTGTCCGTTAGAGAGAGTTCCCACAGCTGGAGGTGTGGGGACACGTGTCTATCGTGACACGTCGGGGTAATTCCAGCCTCCGTGCTGCGTGAGGAGGGTGGGTGTGTCTGTTAGAGCGCCCCAGCTGGAGGCGTGGACACACGTGTCCATCATAGCTCTGGTGCCTGGAGGTGTGGGAACACTTGTCCCTTAGCAAGAGCTCCTGGCTGGAGGTGTGGGGACACGTGTCCGTTAGCGAGAGCTCCCGCGTCTCCTTGTGGTCACTGTGTGTTGGTGCACAGGAGGCGCTGGCCCAGCCGCCTGTCCAGGGTGCACGGCCCCAGCGCTGGGGGTGGGCTTGTCCGAGTGCAGGAATCGGGGGCCAGGTGACCACACCCCAGAGCTGAGGCAGGTTGTCTCAGACACGGGAGCCTCACAGGAGGACAGGCTCCTTGAGAGTTCTCTGTGCTAACGGAGGCTGAGGGGCCTTCAGCGCTGTGTTAGTGCTTGGGAGGTTCACAGGGTGGGAAGAGTGAGAATCTCCTCAAGAGTTCTCTGTGGTAACTGAGCGTGAGGGGTCTCCGAGTCTGTGACAGGTGACCGCGTGTTTTGTGAGCTCTGTGGCTAGAAGCCTCCTTTCACCTGACTTGCTTTCTGGGCTGGTGTGCCCTGCAGCAGTAGGTGCTGGCCATAGCTGTGGTGGGGACCCGTAGCGCTGTGGCTTTGTGCAGACACCATGTGTAGGACACGGTCTCCGTCAGCTGCACCTCCCTGCCCCACGTGGCACATTCAGAAGCACTCGCGTGCCTGAGGGTTGCCCGCCCGTAGGAGGGCCAGTTGGTGCGTAATGTACAGGAAGACTCATGATGTAGGTGACTGATCCCCACTAGAATCCCCTGCAGGGCTCAGGCAGCCGACACACAGCCCTGTGGGTGAGATAGAGCTCAGCCCGCCTTGAGAAGGGAGAGGGACCTGGGAAGCCCCTCCTCACCCAGAAGTTCTCGGACCCTGTGAACCTGACATTAGCGTCACCTGGAGCTGAGCCACGTGCCACTCCAAGTGTGATGCTGCCGGGCCAGTGCCAGCACCTGGGGACCCCACAGGGTCCTCTCCGCCCGAGCTGCCTGCCTGGGCTCAGCAGCCGACGCACAGCCCGCCCCACCGCGGCCTTGGGGCCGGTGCAGGAGATGGTCAAGGCTTCACTCCTACCTGTCTCTCTGTCTGGCAGGTGGTTCGATGTCCTCCAGAAAGTGTCCTCTCAGCTGAAGACCAACCTCACGGGCGTCACAAAGAACCGTGCGGATAAGGTAACGGTGAGCTGTCCCTTGTGGGGCCGGAGTGTGCACCGCTTCAGTCCAGAACTGGAACTCAGAGGGCCAGCCCCGGCTCGATCCAGGGCTGACGCCCTGTCTGCAGGATTCCTGGTGAGCTCTCTCCTTCTGTTTTCCCAGAATGCTATTCACAACCACATCCGCTTGTTCGAGCCTCTGGTCATAAAGGCTCTGAAGCAGTACACCACCACAACGTCCGTGCAGTTACAGAGGCAGGTCTTGGACCTGCTGGCGCAGCTCGTCCAGCTACGGGTCAACTACTGCCTGCTGGACTCGGACCAGGTCTGTGTGCTTTGCAGTCTGTGCTGGCCCCTGCAGTCTTCAATACGCACCCCAAAGGATGCACATGGGGACCAGGCTCCCCACTGGCTGCCGCTGCCTTCGCGTAACAAGCCGCCCATCGTGTGATGCACTACGTGTGTCGTGTGACGCATTATGTCGTGTGATGCAGTGTGTGTGACACACTGTGTGTGTCGTGTGATGCACTGCGTGTGTCGTGTGACGCATTATGTCATGTGATGCACTGTGTGTCGTGTGACACATTGTGTCGTGTGACGCATTATGTCGTGTGATGCAGTGTGTGTGACACACTGTGTGTGTCGTGTGATGCACTGCGTGTGTCGTGTGACGCATTATGTCGTGTGATGCACTGTGTATGTCGTGTGGTACTCTGTGTGTGACGCACTGTGTGTGTCGTGTGATGCATTATGTCATGTGATGCACTGTGTGTCATGTGATGCACTGTGTGTCGTGTGACGCATTGTGTCGTGTGACGCGTTGTGTCGTGTGGCGCACTGCGTGTGTCGTGTGACGCACTGTGTGTGTGTGTGGCGCACTGCGTGTGTGTGTGAGGAGCAGCATGCAGCGTGCTGTCCCAGCTGGTGTGTGCACCCCCAGGCCCACCATGTCTGCCAGGGCTGTGGGTGCAGTCTTTCAAAACATCTGAAGGCTCTTCGTGTATTTGCGCTCATTCTAATCCAAGTTTGAATTTAAATTGTGTGATAGAATTAAGCTTGATTGTTTAGAGTCATTTGTGTCAAATCCAGAATGCTGTTTATAACAGACAGTGCCCACTCTGTGTGTAAGGTTTCTCTGGCCAGTGCTTAGTAGTAGGTTTTGTGGGGCTTTTTCCCCCATCAATGAGAAATTTACTTGTTTTAAAAATATCCAAATGCTGGCATTGTCCAGAAAAACGTATCAGGTTTGTTTATAATTGTTAGAAAGTTGAACGGCTGACACTTGTGGCAGGAAACCTTTGTTCTGACGTGCAGTAATGTCTTACATTCTCATGTTTGTGGTAGAAGGTAACGGCACATGGGAAGGGAGCAGCTGCCAGTACCTGATTCTGTCCCCACTTTTCCATTCCCAGTCACAGACTTAGGGACCTTCCGACCCCGTGGGCAAAGTTACCTAACATTCAAGAGCCACGAGTAATAGGAAGAAGAGATTCCTTTTACAGAATGCGAGGTTTCCCATCACAGGAAGAAGAGTTTCTTTTTAAAGAATGCCAGGTTTCCCATCATCGTGGATCCTTAAGCGCCCATCTCCGTGTGTGGCATGCTAGCTGGACGTCTGTTGGCATAATCGCTACAGTTTGGCATGGCCAGCACACAGGTGGGAACCTTCACGGAGGCCGTGCAGCTGGGCCTCGCTGGCTCCTGCAGAGCCCCGGTAGCTGCTCTGAGAGTGCAGGTCGGCTTTGGAGTCCTGAGCAGTTTCTCACACCAGACGCTGGAAGGGAAGTTTTCAGCGGACTTCTGGTACTGCCTCATCTCCCGGAGTGCCACAGTAGCGGGTCTGTAGTGACACGGCTTCACCGCTCCAGGAGAGGCCATGCTCTTGGGCTCGGCTTCTGTTGCCAGCCGCCCCGCGGGTGCTTTCCCACAGAGGCCTTGCTGTGGATGAGCCCTGGGAGGGAGGCCTCTTCCCTTCCTTGTTTTGGTCTGCTGGACCTCAGCCACACTGGTTTCGCAGAGCCACGCCGGCTGGCCCGTGATGTGGGGTGTGGATCACTAGCTCTGCGTCTGTCTTCTGAGTTTGTCCTAGTCTGGAATCTCCGCTGAGGCCTGTGCTCCTTCAGTGTGACCCTGCTGGTGTGTGATACACTGGTGGCCGAGCTTCCAGCATCTCTGGTACGACAGTCCCAGCACCACGTCCTGCAGACCAGTATTACCTGAGCCCAGGGCTGAACATGTGTCCTTACGTTGTGCAGAACATTGCCGAGATGGCTCCTAACAACACTTTAAACAGGAACTGTATCCTCCTGAAAGAGGAGAGGATTTGAAACACTTGCTGCAGAAGATCAAAGAGGGTGGATTACTTCTCAATGTAAATACGACAGAAATCCTCACCTCTAGATTAATAAGCAACATCATGATAAATGGAGACAAGACTGACACTGCCAATGAGTTCGTCTTACTTGGATCCACAGTCCTTGGTAGCAGCAGTCAGGAGATGAGGAGATGCACTGCATTGGGCACGTCTGCTGTCAGGGACCTCTCCAAAAACTGAGGAGCAGAGATGTCAGTTTGAGACAAGATACACCTGATTCAGGCCGTCATCTTTGTGATCGCTTGCTGTACTGCTGAGAACTGGACAATGAGGGGGATGACAGAAGAAGAATTGATGCCTTTGAGTTGTGCCGCTGGAGAAGAGGACACACACACACACACACACACACACACACACACACACGCACACGGGCTTGCCTCGGAGAAGGTGCAGCCAGTGTGGCCGCCTTCAGTGAACAATTAGCATCAACTTGTTAGATGGATAGGACTGTGTGGCCACGCTCCTCCTAGTTGTTCCACTCAGTGCCTTCTCAAAGCCGGAATGAAGTTGATTGCTTTCTTCTGTCTCTCTAAAATCTCCACCCAGAACGTGAAGATGAGGAGGGTAGCTGCAGTCGTTTTCCTTCATCTGTGGTCACGAGCTTGTGGTTCGCTCTGAGCCCCAGCTCTGTCACTGTTGTCACCAGAGCGAAGTCAGTTCCCACATACCTCTCCGGTGGGGTTTGTTTTCCATTCCTGCTGGGGCCCATGTTATTGTGCTCTTGGGAGTCAGTACTGTGGGGCAGCACCAGCCCCACTCCTGTGGGGTCAGGTCAGACGCGGTGACCCTGCAGGAAGGAGTTGGACCTCTCCGTAGAGTTAGAGGGGCACAGACCTTTCCAGGGGAGAGCCGCCACATCTTTCCTCTGCAGAGCAGTTTGTGGGGCAGTGGGTTACGCATTGAGCTGTGAGCGCAAAGGTGAGCGGTTCACATCCACACCTAGCCATCAGGAGGAAGATGAGACTGTCCATAAAGATTCAATCCCAGAAACCTGTGGGGGCCCCACGCTGCCTGCAGGGCCGCTGTGCGGTGAGCCCGCGCACACTGGGCTCCCGCGGAGTCTTGGAATTCAGGCTTTGCTTTGGCCTCAGTGCTCAGTGAGCTCGCATCGAGGAGCTCCCGGAAATGTTCTGAAGCGCCCTGGTCTGAACCCCTTCCCTTAGGTTCTGTCTGTGAGCCGGCTCCCCTGCGGCCAGGCAGTGTGTTAGCATCACGCAGGTGGGTGGGGAGAAGCGTGGCATCCTCCCAGCAGTCCCATGGTCACGTTCTAATCCTGCCCCTCTACCCGCCTGCAGGTCTTTATTGGGTTTGTGCTGAAGCAGTTTGAATACATCGAAGTAGGCCAGTTCAGGTAAGCGCACAGTCCCCGGCTCCCTGCCCTTCCTTCCTGCGTTTGTCCCTTGGCTCAGATGGTCACGTCCAGCCTTCACTGTCCAGGCTGGAGAGGCTGTCGTGCCAGACAGTTTCGGTAGAAGCGTGATTGGGCTGCTGTGTACTTTTGTTGCCTGTGCCTCTCGCTAGTGCTGCGCCTGGCCGCTGGTGCGTGGGCACTGGTCAGGTGACGGCTCTGTGGTACCTCATCCCTCGGGCGGGGGACCCACTGCCCAGCCTCCTCTGAGGACCCCTCAGCTCTGCCTTGCTGATAAAGTCGTCTTTAGTGAAAGGAAAAGCACTGTGCACTGAATGGCTGCTTTTCCTTGTGAGGGGTTGACTATACTTGCAGTGCAAGAGAGGGGCCTGTAAGTAGGATTCTTGGAAGGAAGAGCCCCCCCTTTTTTCCAAGTCAGGGATGCACAGACCAGAAGGGCTTCTGAATCCCGCGGGCCTGGAGACCTGGGCTCGTTCCTCATCCCGTATCATGTGGCTCTGAGGTCTCAGACTGTTTCTCTTGGAGTCCAGTTTCCTCTCCCGGAGATCCAGGGGCCTGGGCACCTGCTGGGTGCCAGCGCTGGTGGCTTTTCTGCACGCTGTCCACAGCCCTCGTCGCCCGCACCTCGGTGCCACGCTGGCCTCAGGGTAGTCACTAGGCCAGTACCATTGGTGGTGCCCAGAAGCTTGCTAGACTTCAGCTCCCTCTGTAAGCTTGGAACTATCAACCTCATTGTTGTTGTGTCGGAACCGACTCACAGCTGACCCTCCGGTCGGCTGTCAGAGGTGGTGCATTGCACGGGAGGCCATTGCCCATCATCCTCCCATGGAGCAGCTGGTGGACTTGAACCACGTGCCTTTGGGGCTGCAGTGCAGCTTCTTGTCACTGGGCCTCCAGAACTGTTGTGTTGCTATCGTTAGGTGCCATCGAGTTGGGTGGAACTGAGAGCAACCCTATGAACAACAGACCTGAACCCTGGCCTCGCCTGAGCCGTCCTCATCGTGTCTGACACACTTGAGTCTGCTGCTGAGTCAGTGTGTCAGTCCACCTGGTAGAGGGTCTTCCCCGCTCTCGCTGACCCTCCACCTTTGGAAGCATAGTGTCGGTCTCCAGGGAATAGTCTCTCTAAAGCGATGTCCCAAAATAGTGAGATGAAACTTTACTACTTTTGCCTCCAAGGAGCACTCTGGCTGCACCTTCTCCAAGGTGCATATCTGTTTGTTTTCTGGCAGCTTCTGAGATACTCAGCACTCTTCTCCAACACCATAGTGCAAAGCCATCAGTTGTTCCTCTGTCATCCTTAGTCACTGTCCAGCTCTCAGAAGCATGCATAGCAAGTCATGGAAAACACTGGGCTGAAGTTAGTCACACCTTAGTCCTCAAACTGACATCATTGCTGCGTAATAACTTGGAGAGGTCTCTGCAGACTTGCCCAGTGCACCATGTTGTGTCGCTTATATGGCCGATGTCTCTTCATGTCCAAAGGCGTCATCTAACTGGCTGGTTTTATTCGCAGGGAGTCGGAAGCAATTATCCCAAACGTCTTTTTCTTCTTGGTCTTGCTGTCTTATGAGCGCTATCACTCCAAGCAGATCATTGGGATTCCCAAGATCATCCAGCTGTGCGACGGCATCATGGCCAGCGGGAGGAAGGCTGTGACCCACGGTAACCTGACCCGTGGCCTGGCGTGGGCGCTGGGGACATGTGGGGTCCGGGTGTGCAGGGGGTGGGGCACGTGCATCTGGTGGAGCGAGGCTCACGGGAAGTCGAGGGCACACAGTTCTCTGCTCCCCAGACCTTGAACCCGTGTAAGGGGCCGGTGCACTAGGTCTGAGCAGCAAGTTGTGGAGGTGAGGGCTCGTGCTTCGCGGGATCGAGTGCACAAGCCGTGCGGATCCAGCTGACGCGAGCCCAGGGGCGGACGTGCTGTTTGCCGCTGAGCTCACCCACACCTGGACCTGCTGTCTGTCACACATTTCACGTCCGTGCCTACGCCATAGGCCCTTAACCCTTCCAAGGCCTAATGGTTTTCCGTTTTGAACTTTCTGTTGAAAGAATGTGTCTTCATTAATTGTTGGTATTTTGAATGTAATAGATTTTTTTTCACATAAAACCCCCACCTTGTTACGGTAATCAAGACTGTGTCCTGAGGGGTCTCTGATGTGCAATGAGACCCATTTTTTCAGATGCACACAGTAGTACAGGCCCCTGGCAGACGGTAGCATGCCTTCAAAGTGGGATTGTACCTTCCCACTAAACCCCGGGTGTGGAAAATGTCAATGGCCCTGTATGCCCAGTGGTGACCAGGAAATCAAGTATTGGACACAGGACATGGCCAGCAGCTCCTCAGCTATAATATGCACTTTGAACACTGACCTTCCAGCATTTTCCTGCTGGCTCCTCACTGCTGCCTCTGTTAGAAATCTCTAGGTTTTGAACTTGAGTGGTGACGTGTACTGAGCCCTCTGCAGCCCCCAGAAGTGAGTGTGGTTCAGTGTGGGGTCTTATCCGAGTGATCCTGCAGTGGTGACGTGTTCTGACCCCTGCAGCCCCCAGAAGTGAGCATGGCTCTGTGCAGGATATTCAGAGTGGACTCTGTGGTGCAGAGCACTGAGCTGTCCTGAGAGCAGCAGGCTGTCTGTCAGTACAGCTGCTCCCTAGCCAGTGAACCAGCCTCTCCATCCTTCCAGTCACCCAGTCGGAAATGCAGGCAACAGGCTCAGGGTGGCTTCCCCAGCAGCAGGGGCAGCCCGTCCAGTGCCTTCTGCTGGGGTGGTCATCTGCGGAGGGGCCAGGCGTGCCTGTGTGTGCAGCAGGCTGGCGGCGAACCTCGCTGCCCTTGATGTAGTGTGGACTTGCTGTCACGTGAGCAGTCACGAGAGACAAGCGCTTTCCCACAGTCCCCTTTCCCTGCTGAACGAACAGGCCCCCGGTCCCTCCAGGCCCTTCTGGCTCTGACACAGGCGTTACATGAATAAACACGCCGCCGACCCGCTCAGCCGCCCGGCCGGCCTTGCCTGCGAGTGCAGGGGCTGCCTGTACTCTGGAGCGCTGCAGCTCTGTCCCTCAGAAGACCTCTCGGAGGTGGTGACTTGGTGTCAGGGTGTTTTTGACCGCTGTTTCTGGGGGTTATCTGGTGAGGGACTAAGTCTGCTTAAAATAACGGGCTTCCAGTGACGGATTTTGCACAAGGTTTTGGGTCTGTTCAGCCTCATCTGTAAGGAGATTGTGCTCAAGGTCTGGCCTGTGGCTGTTTTGGTTGCTTAACAGACTTTGGAGTTGGTGTTAATATTTCTCAAAAATGATGTAGACCACAGCGCCCCAGGTGTCATTCTGTCACACAGCTTCCCGGGAACCCACAGACAAGCGTCCAGAGGAAGGTGCAGCCTCCCAGGATGCTGTGGTCGTCTGCGGGCATCTCAGTCCTTCGCTGTCACTGGTGGTCACACGTCCCTTATCACCAGCCACGTGTCTCGGGCAGCGGTGTCCTGAGAGGGCGTGGGACGCACTGGAGCCGGCCTGACACCCCGTGTTGCCCACAGCCATTCCGGCCCTGCAGCCCATCGTGCATGACCTCTTCGTGCTGAGAGGAGCCAACAAAGCGGACGCGGGCAAGGAGCTGGAGACCCAGAAGGAGGTGGTGGTGTCCATGCTGCTGCGGCTCATCCAGCACCACCAGGTGCGCAGGGCAGGGCCCGGTGCCTCGCAGACGCCGTGCAGCCGGCAGTGTGCTGGGTGTGTGCTCGGGGCCGGGAGCGGGGCCGCTAGGTGACGGTGTGCTGAGGTGACGGTGTGCTGTGTGTGTGCTCGGGGCTGGGAGCGGGGCCGCCAGGTGACGGTGTGCTGTGTGTGTGCTCGGGGCCGGGAGCAGGGACACCAGGTGACGGTGTGCTGTGTGTGTGCTCGGGGCCGGGAGCAAGGACACCAGGTGACGGTGTGCTGTGTGTGTGCTCGGGGCCGGGAGCAGGGACACCAGGTGACAGTGTGCTGAGGTGACGGTGTGCTGTGTGTGTGCTCAGGGCCGGGAGCGGGGCCGCCAGGTGACGGTGTGCTGGGTGTGTGCTCGGGGCCGGGAGCAGGGCCGCCAGGTGACGGTGTGCTGAGGTGACGGTGTGCTGTGTGTGTGCTCGGGGCTGGGAGCAAGGACACCAGGTGACGGTGTGCTGTGTGTATGTGTTCAGACTGGGACCAGGGACACCAGGTGACGGTGTGCTGTGTGTGTGCTCGGGGCCGGGAGCAGGGACACCAGGTGTGCGTGGCAAGGACTCTCCCATCAGACATGGTCTGGGCAGCAGCTTGCTGGATAATTGTTGGGGAGGCCAGAGAATCAGAGACGCCGGAGGTCCCTGCCTTTGAAGGAGCCCAGCCCTCTGGCGAGGCCGCGTGACACTCATGTCACAGTCAAGAGCATTCTGAAATGAGGACCAAAACCAGTTTCTTGTCAGAGTTGCTTGAAGTGGTTTGTTGTGCACTGTTAGGTGCCGTCAAGTCATGGTCAATCCTGTGAACAGCTGATCTGAGCCCTGGGCCACCCCCACCATGTCCGACACCCTCAAGCCCATGGCATCAGTCACTGTCAGTCCACCTGGTGGACGGTCTTCCTCTCTTTCACTGTATTCCCACCCTCCCCACGCCTCAAGTAGTAGAACTATCAAAAATGATGTTGTAATGTTGTTAACCCCCTAAAACCCCACTCTTTGCTGACCCTCCCCTGAGTTTTCACGGGCTGTAAATTGCATGGAGGAGATTGTCCATTTTTCTCCCTTGGAGCAGCTGGTGGATTTGAACTGCCTGCCTCTGGACTGGACATGCAATTCCTTACCCATTAATGGGGCATTTGTTTGCCGGCATTTTGATGTAGGCCACGGCCTTTGTCTTTGAAGGGATTTCGTGTTGGCTGTTCCTTATTGTGCTGGTGGTCCAGAAAGAGGGTTTGTAGAGATTCGAGTTGTCTTTATAAAGCAAGCCCGTTGCTGTGGTTTGGGTGCCCATTCACAGTGACCCTCTCGGACAGAGTGGACCTGCCCTTGGAGGCGTCCCGTGCCTGGAGGTACAGGGGCAGACTGCCCTGTCATTCCCTCTTGGAGTGTCTGGTGGGGTCAAACCACCAACCTTCTTGTTAGCTGAGCACTTACCCTCTGTGCTACCAGAACCCCTTCTCTTTCTTGACAGCAGCTTGGATCACGGAGCACGAGCCTGCAGGATATGTTGTCAAGGGTCAGGCAGTGAACGTGTTAGGCTTTCGGGCCCACATGCCGTGTCAGGCTGTGTTCTCCTCGTGGGCCTTGCAGGAGAGCAGCCTTAGAGAGCGTTCTTGTGGACCTGAGGCAGGGGCTGGCGGGCAGTGCTGTGGACATGCTGGCCACTGCAAATGAGGAGGCGGCCACAGATAGAACAGGGCCCAGGTCTGGTCATCAAGGACTGTGCTTGGCCTCGCACGACTTGGTGCTCTGAGTGGAGAGGGCAGGGAGGTCGTGGAGTTGGCATTAGCCTGCAGCAGCAGGTCTGCCGAGGGCAGGACTTTGCGTGTGACCTCAGACTGTAGACGGGGCAGTGCTAGCCACACTCCCAGGGTGGCTGAGTGTCCCCGGCCTCTTTGTGTCCTCCAGGCCTCCTCACTTGACACCTGTCCCGGGGTGAGGGCTGGGCGTGGCACTCCATACAGAGCCGGGGGGACCTGGCCAAGGAGCCCTAGTTAGTGTGACGGGCTCTTTCAGGTGCTGGAGATGTTCATCCTGGTCCTACAGCAATGTCACAAGGAAAACGAGGACAAGTGGAAGCGGCTGTCACGGCAGGTCGCCGACGTCATCCTCCCCATGCTGGCCAAGCAGCAGGTCTGTATGCACAGCTCTGCTCAGAAACTTAGATTCCCTGCTGTCATGTGCACGCCTGTGGGCCCATCGGAGGGGGCATAGCCGTCAGGAACCCAGATCCCCGGCTGTTGAGTGGACGCTGATGGACGGCGGGCCCACAGGAGGGGGCATAGCTGACGCTGATGGACAGCAGGCCCACAGGAGGGGGCATAGCTGCCAGGAACCCAGATCCCCTGCTGTCAAAGGGATGCCATGGTGGGCCCACAGGAGGGGGCATAGCCGTCAGGAACCCAGATCCCGGCTGTTGAGTGGACGCTGATGGACGACGGGCCCACAGGAGGGGGCATAGCCGTCAGGAACCCACATCTCTGGCTGTTACGTGGACGCTGATGGACGACGGGCCCACAGGAGGGGGCATAGCCGTCAGGAACCCAGATCCCCGGCTGTCAAAGGGATGCCATGGTGGGCCCACAGGAGGGGCATAGCTGTCGGGAACCCACATCTCTGGCTGTTACGTGGACGCTGATGGACGGTGGGCCCACAGGATGAGGGGAACTGCCACTTTAAGCAGCAGACCTCTCCAGCTTGCTTCTAAGGAGTGGAGGCTACTGCGTTTGAACTGCCGACCTCGATGTCCGTCAGTGTTTAGTCTGTGTTGTGTGTTCCATCGAGTCGGAGCGGACCCTGAGCTGGGCCTGTGGCGGGTGTTCTGAGGCAGTAATTGCGGGAGGAGTCTGCCCGTCCTCTCTCAGAGCACCTGGTGCTTTCAGGATCGCAGCACAGCTCCCTGTCCTGCCCCTGGGCCCTTGATTAGCTCCTTAAACCAGTGCCAGCCTCAGTGGTGCCGCGCTGACACCCCTCAGGCCATGCTGTCCAGGTGGCCGCGGCCGAATCTTGCCTGTGGAGCAGCTGGTGGGTTTGAACCACTAACCTTACATTTTCCGGCAGAGTGCTTAGTTCACTGTGTCACCAGGGCTCCTTGCTTAGCTTGTTGATATGGAATCATGGTGCAGGTACATGACGGAGGCGGGTGACGTCGCCCGGCGCCGTCACATCACAGAGCCTGTGGCAGAGCCAGCCGAGGCCATGGACGTTTCATTTCCTCCCCGGGCGGGTCTTGCTGTGCGTTTCACGGGAGGCCCCGTCGGCTGCTGAGCAGGGCGCCACCCGGCCATCCTGACTGTTTCACTTTGCTGCCTCCGGCCATCCAAGCAGACGTTTTCCTTGCTCTTCAGAATCTGCTTTGCTTTACTTAGGGCTTCCAGAGTGAGTGAGTTCATCGAGATCTCTAGAACACAGAGTGTGAGGGACTGTCCAGACACGTGCGCGTGTGCAGTAGAGGGTGCAGTGGCCCTGCCAGGACGCCCCTCCACACAGCGACAGAGAGAGCCATGAGGGAGGAAGGGGGTCAGTGCTGTGGTCAGTGCCGTGGTCACAGCAGGAGCGAAGGGACAGGTCCCGTGCGAGGAGACCCAGGCTCTGCCGTGCACACGCCGGGACGTGGGACCTCTGCGGAGAACTGGGGGAAGACAGCGCTGCTGTGGGGCTGGACCCGCCCCGGTCCCCCTCCACCAGGTTCCCGAAGCTGTTGCCTGCGTCCTCCCTCAGTGGGGGTTCACACTACACCAGCCCTGCGCCCTCAGCGCTCCTCAGACACCCGGGGGGCCGAACGCAGGTGGGCTAGACGTGGAACGCCTCCCATCCACCAGGAACAGATTTCACACCGCCTCGTCGTGTCCAGGGGTTCCCCGATGTTGTTAAGTGAGAAAGGCAGGGCATTTATAATAGGAGCTTTGGAAAGGTCCAGTGCCTGTGTGTAGACATGTGGTTGTGGCATCGTGGAGAAGACTGACAGGCTGTAACGTTTAACATTAGTGACTGGCCGGTGCGCCAGGCAGAGGGGAGGCGTGGCAGGTTGGAGGGAAAGCCAAAGTAAGATGAAACTGTCCAGATTCCTGTGCCCCGAAAATGACGCAGGCGTCGTGATGTGCATGCGTGTTGGTGATGCCTCTCCGAGCAGTGAGACCAGTGAGGCTGGGGCGGAAGGGCCTGTGGGCGTCTCCAGGTTCCGGGTGCTTGTAGTTCACAGCTCCAGGCCCCCTTCCTCTCTGTCTCTCTTTGCTGGTGGCAGGCATTTGACTTTTCCTCCCCTGAAGGGTTTTTGCCTCATGCACGATTTGGATTTCTCAGGCTTTACAGTATGTTGTTTAAATCTTGTACAGAAAGGTTTGTTACTTACGTTGTTTGTACCATTGAGTCAGAACCTTCCAGTGGGTTTTTCGAGGGCAGTGAATTGCATGGGAGGAGACTGCCCATCTTTCTCCTGCAGAGCAGCTCCTGGATTTGAACCACATACGTTTGGGTTGCCAGTACAACTCTTTACCACTAGGTCACCAGAGTTCTCTCCTTACGTAGTTATCTAATTTAAAGACCTTCACTGTGGGTGGATATAAGCGATGGTGCGTCCTGAGAAATGGTGGCTTGGCCGTGGCCTGCATGTGGACGGTGCCACGCCCGGCACGGTGTGGTCCCTGTCATTGACGGGGAGGGGTCTGTGCGGTTCCTCCTGTCCGCAGATGCACATTGACTCTCACGAAGCCTTGGGCGTGCTCAACACCTTATTCGAGATCCTGGCCCCGTCGTCGCTGCGCCCGGTGGATATGCTGCTGCGGAGCATGTTCGTCACGCCCAGCACCATGGTGAGTGCCAGCCTCGCACCGCGGCTCAGCCCCAGGTGGTGCGGGTGCCGGGCTCAGCCCCAGTGCCGTGGGTGCCGGGCTCAGCCCCGGGTGCCGGCCTCAGCCCCGGGTGCCGGGCTCAGCAGAGCATGGTGTCGCGTGAGGCTGACTCTCTTCTCCCCTGACTGGACTTGGATGATACGGCTGTAGGCTGCTGGCCGGCTCGCCGGGGGCCTCTCCTCCAGCGGTGGACAGGCAGGGAAAGGGCTGTCCTTTCTTCTTCAGTGGCAGTGGCCTTGTTCTTTCCCTTAGGCGTCCGTGAGCACTGTCCAGCTGTGGATCTCAGGCATCCTGGCCATTCTGAGGGTTCTCATTTCCCAGTCAACTGAAGACATCGTTCTCTCGCGGATTCAGGAACTCTCCTTCTCTGCACATCTCCTCTCTTGTCCCGTAATTAATAGGCTCAGAGAAGGAAGCAGCAGTCCAGCGCCGGAGGGACACAGCGAAGGGAGACACGGGAAAAGTCTGCCAGAGGAAACCTTTTCCAGGTGAGCGTGCAGGCCAGGCCTTCTCAGAACCCCAGGGTTTGGGGAGCAGTGTGTCGGGCATGGGCTGGAGCTTCATAAATCACTCTCGCAGACGTCTGCCGTCAGGGAAGGCTGTCCACACCAATGTGGCCTCGCTCGGTGTGGCCCAGGCACACGACGGGCGGACAGCCACAAGAGCTCACCGCCAGCTGCCTTCACGCTCATTCACCCCGGGTGTTGGGGAACAGAAACGCTTCAGCCCTGCTTGATGGGGTGCTCCTGGGGTGCCCAGACTGTCCCCTCACTGATTGGAAGCTTCCAAGGCACTGTGGGCACCTCCTTTCAGACATGGGTGTCCACGCTGGCCAAGAATGCTCCCAGAGATAGAGCGCTAAGCTGTGCCCTGTGCCAGCCCTGTGCTCCTTCAAGCCACCTCTGACCCCTGAGCCAGCCATCCCTGGCCCTCTGCTACTTCAAGCCATGGCCACCCCTGGAGCCAGCCCTCTGCTCGTCCTGGCTGCCACTGCCCCTACAGCCAGCCCCCTGTGTGCATCCTGTGCTGGCCCTCTGCCCCTTTCAGCTACCCTTGACCCTAGAGCCAGCCCTCGGTGTGCATCCTGCACTGGCCTTCTGCTCCTTCCGGCCACCCTGCCCTGGAGCCGGCCCTCCCTGTGTGTCCTGCCCTGGCCCTGGAGCCGGCCCTTGGTGGAGGCCTCATGTCCTGCACAGAGACACCTGGTAGACAGCCTGGTGGCTTGTGTGTTGTCAGGCACACCAGTGTAGTGTTTTCCATCTACAAAGATTTTTTAAGACGCAACTTAAAACAACACATGCTTTGTTGTAAGAGTCCTTTGAAGGTGATGTAATTGTATTTTATAATTGTGGCCAGTGATGCCGAGAGGGCCTTAACCCAGAGGCCTGCCGTTAGCCGTTTGCCTCTCGTCTCTGATGTGTGCTTCTCACGGGCATCAGTACCCCGCTGGTCGCCCTCGTCGCCTCACTCCTCCTCCCTCTCCTTGGAAGGTTTCTGCTCCAGTTGGTCGGCATTCTTTTAGACGACATCGTGACAAAGCAGCTGAGAGTGGATGTGAGCGAACAGCAGCACACCTTCTACTGCCAGGAGCTGGGCACGCTGCTCATGTGTCTGGTCCACATCTTCAAGTCAGGTGGGTGGACCTGGAGGGTATGCCCACCCGCCCTGCCTGTGCCCAGAGAGCTGCTGTGCTGGTGTCCTGCTGGGGCTGAGAATGGACTTCATGTGTCCAGTCCACAGCTTCAGGTCAGGGACGTGGGCCTTGAGGTCATCTCTGCCTGCCCTGCCTGGGCTCAGAGCAGCCTGTGATGGCCAAGAGGCTCTGCTCAGTGTCCTGCTGGGACTGAGACTGGACCTGGGATGCCCTCTGCTTGGAGGATCTGTGAGGCTGAAAAGTCCTGGTCACTCTTAGCAATGGTGAGTGACGGGGTGAGCCCCAGCTGACGTGCACCAAGCACCGAATGCGGCCAGCCCCTCCTGGGTCAGCAGTGGTCCTGGGGGCTGAGTGTCCCCAGGAAGAATGTCTTTCTCTAGAGAGTGAGTAAAAAGCTAGGAGACTTGTTGGCGTGCTTCAGGCTCACCTGTCTTGTTACATGCTGTGTAGTCAAGTACGACTCCCAGTGACCCTCTGCCTTACAGCTCTTACCCGCTCCTGTGCCGTCCTCACACCTCCGCAGTCACTGTGTCAGCCCCCCCTGGCTGAGGCTGGTCTCTCATTCGTCATCCCTGCACCTTTCCTAGGCCCCTCTCCAAGGAATAGCCTCTTCTAGCAGCAGGCCCAGAGGAGGCGAGACGAAGCTTCCTCATCCTTGCCTCTAAGGAGAACTCTGCCTGCACTTCTCCCAACACCTATCTGTTCTCTTAGCTGCATGGAATTTGCAGTACCCGTCACCAATACCACAACTCAGCGGCATTGGTTCTTCTGCCGTCCTTACTCATTATCCAGATCTCAGATGCAGAATGTTGTTGTTGTTAGTGCCGTTGAGTTTTCTGCGACTCATAGCGACCCTGTGTACAACAGCCCTAAACCCTGCTCTGTCCTGTGCCAATCGCACTGCCTCTGACACACCCATCCTGATGACCCCAATCACTGAATCAATCCACCTCATAGAGGGTCTTCCTCTCCTGCGCTGTCCCTCCACCCTCCCAAGCATGATGTCCCTCTCCA